CTCATGCAGGTAAAGTGATACTCAAGGTGCTGCAGCAAAGGTGTTGATCTCATATGGAGCAAGAAACGCCTGATGCCCGAGCTGGATTTCAGAGAGAGAGAGGCACACGGGATCTACTTGTGATTATTCTTTGGCTACTGGAGTGCTCCAAAGAATTTCAGAAGAAGGTTAGTTTATGTTGTATAGACTACAATAAAGCCTTTGAGTGCATGGATCATGAAAAGCTGTGGGCTGCTCTGAAAGAAATGGGCATGCCTCAGCACTTGATTGTCCTGATGTGTGACCTGTACTGTGGACAAGAAGCCACTGTCAGGACAGAATATGGAGAGACAGAATGGTTTCTTGTAGGCAAAGGGGTCAGACAAGGGTGTATTTTATCTCCCTATCTGTTTAATCTGTGTGCAGAACATATCACGAGAAAAACTGGGCTAGACCCAGATGAAGGAGGAGTGAAAATTGGTGGAAGAAATATCAACAATCTAAGATATGCAGATGACACCATCTTACTGGCAGAAAGCAACAAGGACTTGAAACAACTCCTGACAAAAGTGAAAGAAGAAAGTGCCAAAGTAACACTGCCATTGAACATCAAGAAGACAAAAATCATGACTAGAGGAGAACTACCCAACTTTAATGTAGACAATGAAGATGTTGAAATTGTTAAAGATTTTGTTTACCTTGGTTCAGTCAACAATTTAAATGGAGACTGCAGACAGGAAATCAAGAGAAGACTGAGACATGGAAGGGCAGCAATGAAAGAACTAGGAAAGATCATCAAGTGTAAGGAAGTGTCATTAGAGACCAAGGCCAAGATTATCCACACCCTCATATTCCCAGTTACTATGTACAGGTGTGAAAGCAGGATGATGAAGAAGGCTGACAGGACAAAAAGTTGATTCATTTCAAATATGGTGTTGGAGGCGAGCTCTGTGGATACCCTGGACTGCCAGAAAGACAAGACAAGTGGGTCCTAGAGAAAATTAAGCCTGAACTATCACTGGAGGCAAAAATGATAAAACTGAGGCTGTCCTACTTTGGGCACATCGTGAGAAGGCAAGAATCTTTGGAAAAGACAATAATGCTGGGAAAAGTAGAAGGCAGCAGGAAAAGAAGACCAGCACGTATGAGATGGATTGATTCCATAAAGAAAGCCATAGGCATGAGTCTACAGGAGCTGAGTAGGGCTGCTGAGGAGAGGACATTGTGGACATCACTCATGCATAGAGTCACTAGGAGTCAGAGCCAACTTGACAGTACGTAACAACAACTACTCATCCATACTGGTAAAGGTGACTATTGTATTCATCTAATAACACGGTTGTCTAGGAAAAATGCGCTGTGTTTTCCTTTGCTCTTGCACACAATACTTGTGACACCACTGTGTTTTAGGAGCTCTTTGCCTGGAACTGGGGGCAGAGACCAATCTAGATACAGGTCTTCCTCAACTTACAACGGGGTTATGTGCTGACAAACCCATTCTAAGGTGAAAATCTCATTAAGTCAAGATGCGTTTAACACACCTAACCTACCGAACATCATAGCTTAGCCTAGCCTACCTTAAACGTGCTCTCAAAACACTTACATTAGCCTACAGTTGGGCAAACCATCTAACACAAAGCCTATTTTATAATAAACTGTTGAATATCTCATGTAATTCATTGAGTACTGTACTGAAAGTGAAAAACAGAGTGATTTTATGGGTACAGAGTGGTTGTAAGTGTATCGGTTGTTTGCCCTCATGATCATGAGCTATACTGCGCTGCTGCTGCCCAACTTCACGAGAAAGTATCATACCGCATATAGCTAGCCTGGGAAAATATCAAAATTCAAAATTCAAAGTATGGTTTCTACTGAATGTGCAACACTTTCACACCATCCTACAGTTGAAAAATCCTAAGTCAAACCATCATAAGTTGGGGACTGTCTGTATTTTCTACTAGTTCCCAATAGCCTTCAAATATGTAACAGCAACTGACTGAAAAGAGTATCTGGCACATAGTAAATGCTATAAATGTGATAGCACTTGTTTATATTTATGTGTATATATAGACACAAACACACACAGGCATATCTATCTCTCTCTGCATATATATATATATATATGATATACTTATGTATTACTACATGTATTTGGATATATATGTTTATATATGTATATTCATACAGAAACACATATACGTGTATATATAGAGATGATTTTGTACCTAACAGATGAGCTTACACATTATTTTCAGATTCAAATGGAATATTTACAAAATTTGACCATGTAATAGGCCATGCTTTACTTCTTTGACTGTTCCCTTCCCGTTGACTAGACCTCAGCCATATGGCCACAATAAGGGTGACTTGGAAATGTATTCTATCTGTGAGTCTAGAAATAAGTGGAATTAAGTTTTGATAGAACAGCTAGCGTCTGTTCTATAGTTTGCCTTTTCTGGTTACCAACTACTTATGCATATCCTTTTTCCAACACATATAATGTACTCACTGTCTCACCAAAAGACAAAATCAAAAGTTTCACCCATTACTGCATCTAAAGTCCGGAATCTTGGGGAATATACCCTCTTCTCCATCAAGAATAAGTATTGTTACTTCTGGTCTGCTAACATAAAAGCCAGAGAGACAAGTTATCTGTCACTGTCTTCCTACATGACATACAATGGTGGAGCCAGGCATCAACAATCTACTGTGAAAACTCATAATCAGAAAAAGAAATGGAAACACACTGTAGTCATTGATTCACAGCAACAATGTTCATTTGCTTGGCTGATATTATAAAAACCTCTGCCTAACAGTGTTAGAAGTTTTTAAAATTAGATTCTGGATCTGTTTTTTGAGAGGAATAGCTCTTGGTTGCACTATCTGAGAGTTTTTCTCTTGTCTCTTATCCCCATACACAAATCTAATAAGGGTATTGGAGAATATGCTCCCTTGAAGACTGAGGAGTGTTGCACAATTTCTTTTGTTTGAAAGTTCAATAAGTTATAGTTTTATTAGGCTATAATATTGGATTCTTTGGTGATACAAATCCCTCAAAAACATAATAGGTTTCTGACCTATCTGTCTCCAGTATCTCCTACATACCAGTAACCAAAGCCAAGGTTTTGTTCTAGACACAGTTATTAAGTCTTTGCTTATTTCTTCTCTGTGTGCCTGCCTCTCTCTTAATGTAGGCTACCGTAAGGTCTTCTGGAACAATAGGTGTGGTTGGGAAGGGGAAACCTTTAATTAGACCTTTGCCATAGGGTTGTGCCTATATTTAATTGAGCAAACCTAATAGACCTTTGATAGTCAAGTCTTTTTCAGTCCTTTCTTGCTGTGTGGGATCAAGGAGCACTTGGCTTTTACAATCACGCCCCCACATTTCTGGATCCTCTCTATTCCCGTCATTTATGCTTGAAAACTGGTCAATTTTAGCCAGCTATTAATACATTGCTACAAACAATAATATTGAGCAAACAAAACCCGACAACTCTCTGGCTCTTTCCTACTTTCTATGAAGCAGCAGGTTTCCTAGGTACTTGGTCTATATCAAATGTTTTTCCACTAAAAACATGTATCTCCTTTTTTTTTTTTAGTCTGTGATATTATTTCCTTGCCATCTGCTGTCTGGTTGCTAAATCAATGACATGTACTTTAGATTTTAGTTATGACATCATCCCATTTCTGAATACTAATTCTTTATTGTTGTATCTGAAGTACACACTTTTAAATGATGTTAAGTAGGGAGACAGTTTTCTCAAGACTATTTCTTAAGACTATCTACTAAACTAGTGGTTTTCCAACTTCTTTTTTTGCTACAACCCACAACAAAAACAGAATTTGTGTTGCCATCCAGTAAACATACACACACAAACGCATACCAGATGGGCCAACAGGATGTGCCTAAACTAGGACTGTTTCTAGCAAACCTGCATATTTGAGTACCCGAAATTCCCTTTCTGCTGCTAAACTGATTTTTCACAAGAGATTTTTAAAAATTGCTTGAATAATACTGAGCATTTAGCAATGATATGACAGCTAGGTTAATCCCTTGAGATCCTAGAATAAACGTGAATTTTGTATATTAATTATGGTATTATACTTATTAAATAATGACCTTATTGATTAAAAGTAAATAATAAGTTGCTTCCAAGTCTTGGCTATTGTGAATAACGCTGCAATGAACACAGGGGTGCGTGTATCTTTATGCATTGGTGTTTTCAAGTTCTTTGGATAAATACCCAGCAATGGAATAGCTGGATCATATGGTAGTTCTATCCTTGAGTTTTTGAAAGAAAAAAAAAAAGTAAATAATAAATATCATTCATCATATGATAATTATGTTTTATTTAAAGTTACATATACATCTTTTCACTTAAAATTTATATCCTTAAATGTTACATTTCAGTTTCATTTGATCTAAGTTTAATAGTATTTAGAAGGATCAAGAACAAACAGTGGGTAAAACATCAATTGTTTTACTATCTGAAAGAGGTCTTTATTATTATAATTACCAATAATAAAAGATATAATATAATTGAAGCACTGTTTTCTATAAAAATAAGTTAAAGACACTATGGGGGCTGGCCTGGTGGCATAGTGGTTAAGTTCACGAGCTCTGCTTCAGCAGCCCAGGGTTGAAGGGTTCGGATGCCGGGCACAGACCTACATACTGCCCATCAAGCCATGCTGTGGCAGCATCCCATATACAAAATAGAGGGAGATTAGTACAGATGTTAGCTCAGGGCCAATCTTCCTCACCAAAAAAAAGGCACTATGTAATTTCCTATGTATATTCCTAAATAAAGTTTTGTGGAGGCGCATCTTAATATTGGAAGGACAACAAATTCTCAAGTTGACTATTAAGACAAAGTAGAACATCATCACAGGTATCCTTAAGCAACTCTCAAATAAAGAGGAAATCTGAATTGGGAAGCTCAAAAATCGAGGATTTCTTGGTTTGCTTGTTTCCTCGTATTTATGCTGTGGTCTCTCAATTTGCAATCTTCTTTTTTAAGGCCCGTTTACAGGACCCAGTCTGAACACAACACCATGTGGAAGATGCTGAAAACGATTCCAGATTTAACCTCCCAGCTAACTGACGAGCATCTGAGAACTCTGAGTAAGAGTGTCATTTCTGAAACCTGGGTAAAAGGCAGCACAGGTAACAAATATGGAGGGAAATGTGGCAAGATAAAACGCATGTCACTATCTTGAGTTTTCTATCCTTATAATACTCATAATTTCACTTGATGTGTTACAAATGTACTATTGGATGTATTTCATTTGTAAAGTTAGAAGTAGTGAAATGAATAACATTTCACATTTTAGTTCTTATGTTTTAAAGATACACACTTGTGTTTCCCCACCTTGAACATGTATGAGAATCTCCCAGGGGACTCATTGAAACATATTGCTGTGTTCACCCCCAAAGTTTCTGATCAGTAGGTCTGGGATGGGGATTAATTTGCATTTCTAATAATATTCAAGGTGATGCTGCTAGTCTGGGGACCACGCTTTGAAAACTACTCATTGATTTACACCTTTAACAGCAATCTAGCATTGGTTTTCATAGTTAAGACAGCAAGTAGTCAAAGCGATTATTTAATCCAGATAGTGATCTAGATATTGGAAACAAACCTATTCAGATAGATTTTAGTTTCCCAATTTTAATTTCTAGTTCCTTTATCAAGGATATATTGGATACATTAGTAGAAGTATTTTGTATTTTAATTTTTTAGGGGGACCATACAAGTAAACACACACACAGAGTCACACACACACCTAAACCAACAGAGTTCAACATCATTTTTTGCATTTATCAAGTACCTATTAGAAAAGAGGAACTAAATTTATTTAATACATTCTTTGTGTTAGGGATATCCCTTATTCATTCCTCACAGTAACAAATAATAGTAGATATTATTATTACTATTTTCTATAGACGAGGACCCTGAGGCACAAAATATCATGTAGAGTATTTCTGATTAGTATTGAATTTCAAGCACACTTTAGCCTTCCTGTATAAAGTGTCATGTCAGGATCATGACATTTAAAATCTAACTGGAATTTTGGAGAACATGTGTCTATTGAAATGATTTACATATTTCGAGAGTTTTCCTTCAACTGTCCTCTCTCATAATTAGTTTCATTTAATCTGACATCAAGCAGTGGAAATTAAATCATCGGAGTTTTGCAGAGGATAAAGTGATTTCAAAAGGAAAGAACAAACATTCAACATTGTTTTGCCATTAGCTTGAGGATAGTAATTAAAAAATTAATTTTTGTCATAAATCCCTGAAATTATATTTATTATGGTAAAAAATATGGAAACAACCTAAATGTCCTTCAATAGGAGATAAGACTACCTATGCTGCAATATATCTATTCTATGGAATTCTAGGCAGCGGTTAAAAAGAATGAGGTAGATCTATATACACTGATGTAAAAACATTAAAGACAGTAAATAAAAATAAAACAATTGCAGAATTATATAAATAATATGATCGATTAATCATACTTTCATAAATACTTCTATTTATGAAAACCCAGCAATTATATATACATATGTATGTGCATATATATGTATATAAAATATATACAGTAAAAAATATGTAAAGGCAGATACAGAGGGACACTCCAAAAATACAAAAATTTTAGGTGGCTCTAAAATTGTGACCTTAGTGGAGGGGAGAGGACCTGAGGGGCAGTGAAGGGGCACAATTAACTCTTCTACATATACTTGTGTTGAATTTTCCACAGTGAATGTATATTCATATGTTAGTGTTTGTAACTACATATTTATTTTTTTCAAAAAGGTTTTAAACTACATTAGAAGTAAATATTGTATTCTGATGGTATCTTAATAACTCAGGTGATTATTAAAATATGAACTTTCATTCTTTGACAAATATCAACTTTAATTCGTTTATATTAAATAAAGTAATCCAACTCACACTTCAACAGGGCATACTCCAGACTCGTAAGAAAACATTCAGAAATCTCTGTGTTTACATTGACCTGTGTTAAAATCTTTCTCGTGAGTTTTTTAAGACCTCTAATTCCGACAGCTCAGGTCTGCTTCACTATCAAAGCAGGCAACTCATTAAACATCTGACCTTTGTAAATCTCTGTTCATCCAACTTAAAAAACAAGCCCAACTAGGTGTCTTTCTTTCTCCCTTTTCTTTATTCATGTGTGCGTTTCCCTCCCTCTGCTGTTATTTAAAGCGTTCCCCCTGGCGGCCCCTCATCACCAGGCTGCGGGCTTCCAATCTGCCGCTGAGCTGTGGTTGCTCGCCTGAGAGTCCACACAGCTGTTGTACCTTCTGGCCACAGGTTCTTTGGAGCTTCATTATTTAAGGCAGTTTCTGAAACTTACCATTACTCACTCAGCTTCTCATTTAGTTTCCTTAAACAATAAAATATTAACAGGGATAACAATATTATGATTTTAAGTACTGAATAACACATAGACACATCTCTAGTTTACGTGAATATGCTACTAAAACATGATTACCATATTAAGATTACTTATATTACTACATTATTTATTTATGATATTAAGGATTACTTATATTATTCTCTAATAAAAATACTATATATAATATATATTACATATGGTAATCTCTTTCAGTATGCTGTATAGATATAGTTTACTGAATTCAGATGATCTGAAGAGTTTTCCATTGGATCTCTTATTTTATGGCCTGGGCAGGGAGCAGTTGTTTTGACTGGTAACCTAAAGCTCATGAAAACTAAAAGAATTAGCTTGCTTGAGAATCCAATTTAGTGACTAACCTGGAATTAGATCCTAGATCAAAGTTTCATTACAACTACCTTTATGTTAACATTGAAACATTCCCGTGAGATGACTGATAAAAGGGTTTTTTCTTTTATATCTATATCGACTTCACTTTGTTTTCTGTACTTGAAGCCCACTGTCTTACAATGTCATTTCTCTCTTTCTTTCATTTTACTCCTAACTTTTATAAGATTATATCTCAAAAACACCATAGCTCCTTATTTGAATAAAATCGTATATTTATCTTTAATGCTGAAAAATGTTTATGTTATAAGTTTTTAACATTTCCTAACCTGCATAGACTTTTATTTTTCTGTTCTTGTTTAAATTTCATTTAACATTATAAAAACACGGTAGCTAAATCTCACGAAAAATGTAGTGGGCATCGTTTTTAGATACAAATTAACCATAATTCAAATAATATACTCTTACAATAGCATATTATTTCATAATAATAAAATATTTAGTCCTACCATAAGGACCACGGCTCCCTTCAAGGCAAACAAGGCCTTGAAGAATGAGCATTGATCCTGAAGTGTAGATCTGCTTTCGCTGCAACTAAGGTGTTTCCTAAGATTCACGAAGATTCATCCTTGGAAGCAGGCCAGAAATCTTCTTCAGTCTCTCTGCATTGTGAGAACCCAATTCCGTTTCTACGTTTCTCTATCCAAGAGATGATCGTGAAGTTGAGAAAATTAATGCAACAAAAACGACGACAACTATTCACTCTCAGGACAATACAAGAGACCCTGGCCATGATATTTTATTTCTCTAATATTGTCATTGAATCTTATTTTCTAAGCAGTGAGACTTAGAAGCAGGGGTGATATCTAAAATATTTAACACCTGATCAGAACAGGAGCAACCAAATCAGAACGAATGCTGCTCTCAGCAGTTGGAATGGGTGTGTTAGTAATAGAAATCCCACATGCGTGAGTTCCTCCACTTCTGTTACTGGAATATTTTCAATTAATAAAGAACTACTTTTCAGGTTGATTACATAATTGTACTACGCAGTGCCTAAAATTTAATAGTTTTTAAAAAACCTTCCTGATTTTACTAGAAAAAATAATCAGAGTAGAACTAATATTCGTTCAACCCCTCTAGGCTAATTCTTAGATTGTCATAGTTCAGAAGAGTTGGCAGCTTTGCCCAACCATGGGAAGTCATTTTACTTTTTGTCGGTGAAGAAGATTAGCCCTGAGCTAACATCTGCTGCCAATCCTCCTCTTTTTGTTGAGGAAGACTGGCCCTGGGCTAACATCCATGCCCATCTTCCTCTACTTTATATGTGGGACGCCACCACAGCATGGCTTGATAAGCGGTGCATAGATCCACAACCGAGATCTGAACCCGTGAACCCCGGGCCGCTGAAGCGGAGTGCCTGAACTTAACCACTACACCACCCAGCCAGCCCCAGGAGTCATTTTTAAATAATACATTTATATACTTTTGTCATATGTGCAAAAAATGGAATGTGGTATTATGCTAAATGCTTGGGAAACAAAATTACATAAAGCTGGTTCCCATTTCCTACAATAATACAGACATAAATTCATTGATTTAACAACCATGTATTGAGTGTTTGCTATGTGCTAGTGACTGTCACTAGAACTTATTTTCTAGGGTGGGAGACAGAAAATAAACAATAAGTGAAAGCATAGTGTAATTGCTGGAAATAAGTTCTATGAAAAAAATAAAACAGAGCAAAGGAATAGAGAGGGGCTGGAAACTGGAGGAGGAGTTCTTTAAATGATGGTGATAATAATGACATAACCTACAACAATTCAAGGAGTGTTTATTCAAGAAAAATGATAGAATTTTGGTAAGAATAGTGAATTTTGCAGCATTTTCACTTGGCCTATTCCCATCACACTAGACCCTAGCTCTGCAGTGGCTTTGAAAGCAGCAGCCTTGCAACCATGGTGGCTGTGAAAACCAGCCGCCTGAGAACCACTGGAGGTGGCAGGATAGGTTTGAATCTCTCCCCAAAGCTCCAATGCAAGAGATTTGTCACAATTTTGCCCACCTGGTAGTTTCCAGGAATGGGCACATTTACAGAACCTATATGTATATATATATAAAAAGAATGGTCTCAAATCAATAACCTAACCTTCCATATTAAAAAATTATAAAAGAAAAGCCAAGTAATCCCAAAACAAGTGGAAGGAATGAAATAATAAATATTATAGTGGACATACGTGGAAGAAGAAATATGAAAACAAAAGAGAAAATCAACAAAGCCATGTTCTTTACAAAGAACAACAAAATAGACAAATCTTTATCTCAATTTATCAAGACCAAAGAACATTCAAATTATGAAAAGTAGCAATAAAAGAGAGGACATCATTATTGACTTTA